CCGAGGTGAAGCGGGCCCTCCCGGCCCTAGAGGTCCGAAAGGCGACAGAGGACCACAGGGTTTCAGTGCTGAATCAAAAGTAGGACCGAAAGGAGACAGAGGCGAACCGGGGCCTCCTGGAAGGTCTGGTCCAGCAGGCCTTACTGGCAGAGCTGGAGCAAAGGTTACTCTTCACTTTTGGTGGAAGAAAATTTTGTGCTTTACCATTTAAGTTGCTTTGCTTGGAATTATATTTTAATGAGTTTCGTTCCAATGAGTGATATAACATTTAGGGGGAAAGAGGAGAAATTGGCCCAGCAGGAATGCCTGGCCCTGTCGGTCCTCCCGGGCCTCCCGGGCCACCTGGAACAAGTGCTGGTCATTCACTGGGAAGATATGTGCCAGGCCAACCGGGTCCTCCAGGTCCTCCAGGTCCACCAGGCCGTGACGGAAGACGTGGAGAGAAGGGAGAAAAAGTGAATAGTTAAATTGTTAAAAACATTTTTGCGACAGTGGGTTTTCTTTTCCATCAAAGAGTATTATTATTAAAATAAATTAATGAGTAAAGAGAAAGGAAGTAAATATTAAAAACTGTAGGGAGAAGCAGGACCCAAAGGTCCACCAGGTCCAGTGGGACCACCTGGACCTAAAGGAGAGATGGGGAAACGTGGACGACGGGTAAGATATTGATTTATCACATCTTTGTTAGGTAGAACTGCTTGTTCGCCTTTTTGATGTCGTCTTGTGGCTTTCTTAGTGTAGTAAACCGTACAGCAGTGCTTGCTTGGTAGTTTCGTGGTTGACGTTGTGTAAAATGTGGTTATTGATAAAAAATTTCTGATTTTTACAGAACAACGCCGATTACATAAGGTAGGTTCTGATGGTGGTTTGTTAAAAACCTCTTTCTCATTTTCATTTCGATACCCACAAATATCTTGTGCGGACGGAGCCTATGAGCAACTGAAATTGTTTATAGGGTAAAGATGCAGACGCATTACGTCCAAAAGAAATGCACAAACTTGTTTCGGCCCTAAAAGGACAAATGCAATGTAAAGACGGTCCACCTGGTCCTCCAGGTCCAATGGTAACGTTGCTTTTTTGTCACATTTTTTCAAGAAATTTGTCAACTGTTTTAGGAAATGAATGATTTGTCAAGAGACTACTGAATTACTCACGCTTTTTATCTTATGCTGTGAAAACCAGTTAGTTATCTTTTGATATTTTAGGGACCAATGGGTCCTGCAGGACCGAAAGGTTCTCGTGGCCCTCAAGGTTTGCCTGGTCATGCTGGAGTTAAGGGCGACAGGGGAGAAATTGGCCCGCCTGGGTTACCAGGTCCTCAGGGTCCAGCTGTAAGTTCTTTTTTTTTGGGCCTGAGCCTGACAGTGAGTACACTTTGGATTACGAAATTTGTGAAACTGATGGAAGTTTCCTCAGTTTCTTCTCACAATAAAAATTCTGCATATGTCAAACTAGCTCGATTTAACAAACAAATTATTTCGGGTTTTTCTTTTTGGATAAGTTTTTTGCTGCTAACAATGTCTTAGGTTGATTAAGTGATAAACTGATGTTGTGGCGTTCTCTTTTCAATACAAAATTTCCAAAACTGAAAGAAGCTATAATTCAGGGTGAGCGAGTTGGAGTAGTGGGCTCTAATATCCCAATGTCAGTCACTGGAAAGCCTGGGCCACGGGTAAGTTATTAAAATTTTTAAGGAAAGATATATGAGTGAAAAAGGTTTTTTAAGGGCTGCAATGAAATAAAATTTATAAGTACAAAAATCATTGTAATGAAGGAGAAGTTTTTAAAATGAACCGTTTCAGGGAAGTCCTGGGCTTCCAGGTCCACCAGGTTTGAAGGGCGAAAAAGGTGATGCTGGTTTTACTGGAGTACCAGGTTCGATAGGCTTGCCGGTGAGTTAGTTTCAACTTTTGAAAAAGTTTAGCCGACTACTTATTTTTCTGAACTTTTTTTCCTTAGGGACCACCGGGACCTATGGGAATGCGTGGCGCTCCAGGTCCTCAAGGAATTCAAGGTAGACCGGTAGGTATTTATTTACTTAATTTGTTAGGACTAAATCGAAGACACTTTTCCAATTGGTACTTTTAAATAACACTCAAATACTGATCATTATTGTAGCGTCGAAAATGCTGAACAAAAAACTGGGCGTCTTCTGTAACGTTTCACAGCTGATATTCAATGTTTTTCTATCGGATATCAAGAAAAAAATTTTTTTTTTGTCATGTCGTTTGAGTATGTGAATTGGAAATGCTTTGTGGATATTATTGTGGCTTTGCATGAGCATGTTTATTGTGGCTGTAGTGGTACATAGCTCAACCATCAATTTGTTCGATAAAGTTGAATATTTGTAGGGTAAACAGGGAGTTGCTGGACCGCCGGGACCAAAAGGCGATCAAGGACCTATTGTAAGAAATGTTTTTATAAATTTGGGAGATTTGGTTTTTTTTTATTGATTATTGATTAATATCTGACAAATGTGTCTGTTCGCTAAAAATATTTAGCTGTGTCATCGCAGCTTTGTCTAACTGGTTCATTTTTCCAGGGTCCGGTTGGGAGACCTGGTAATCCTGGCTATCCGGGAGAGAGGGGGCCAAAAGGTGATGTAGGACCGCCTGGGCCAAAGGGTGAACAAGTAAGCTTTAAATTTGAAAAACAGCTATGAATATTTCAATGAATGTATTACACTGTTTAACAATTATCTTGCTTTTTCAGGGAATACCTGGTTTAGATGCTCCATGTCCTGTTGGTCCTGATGGATTACCATTAGAATCTTGTGCGTGGAAGTCTGAGGTAACATAGTGTATTTAGCCGACATGAATTTTAATAACTTTAGGAACAAAATGTGAAATGTGAAAAAAATTTTATTGTAAAAAGTGTATGCTTAAGTAAGATAAATAATGCCTGATCAAAATACAGAGTAACGTTGCTAGTGTGTAGTATAATTCTTCAATAAAATGGTACCTGGTTGATCAGTTCTAATTAATTTTAGGCAGAAAACGAAAACGGGTTTCATGGGCGCAATTAATTAGGCCTTTACTTAATCAGGACTTTTTGGACTGCTGATCTCCATGTACAAATTGGCAACATTTTGTTTTTTTGTAGTATGGTTCTTGGACTTAATTGTTTTCTGGAAATTTGACTCTTCTTTCTTTTTGGAAAGTAGTTGGAAATGCTATTAAATTTAGCTACACCGTGAAATTATATGGAAAAGTTTAGCATAGTTTTTTGGACTGGCTGATTTGGAAATCATATTTGGTTGGTAGCGCAACAGTAAATAGCAGAAACTTTTGGATCGTTTTTTTCCTTGTCGTTTTCTTTTGAGCAGTCAGAAATTAATGTTCAGTACTGCTTTTTTGCTATTTTTGTTTTCATTTGTTTCTGACATATAATGAAATAACTGCCTTACATTGTAATTCCTCATCAGTATTTTCACTACCTCCGTTTTATCTTTAGTGCTGACTAGTCATTAGACATAGACTGCCAATTTTTCAATGCTATATTTTGTTTATATTTTTGAAATTGTTTTCACTGGTTTTAAATTTGTTTGGTATTTTTTGGAAAGTGTTTTGTTTGTTGATATGTGTTCAATTTTCATGATTGTTTGAAAGTAATTTTTTGCTTTCTTCATCTGTTTTGCAAAGAAAAGGAACTGTGCTTTTTGAACGTTGCTCAGAGACTTTTGGAAGATACCACGAAGAAAAAGTTATCTCAAATGTGTAGTAAGTTCTGATGACACATTGATGTGTTTAGCGAACCAAAAAAGAGAAAAAAGGAACTGAAAAGGGAA